GTACCACTAAACCCAACTGTGCATGATTCAGCTATTTATTGCTCAATGACAACCTATCACACTATTTTGCAACTTAAAAAATGTACAAGCTATTTCTCAAGATTCTCTGAATTGGCTAGCTTCAGTGGGCAGCTCTGCTGATACTGTCATGAGTCTCTTTTGGTATGCATTTAGCAAGTTCTGGAGACAACATACAAAATATGAAATGATTTTCTACTACACATCTGGCAAACAACTTTTTTTTTTTGGTGGAACCGGGGATTGAACTCAGGCCCTCCTGCTTGCCAGGGAAGTGCTTATTCCATAAGCCATCTCCCTGGCCCCCTGGTATACAACTTATATGGAAGAAAGTGTCACTTAGTTCATCATTTCAGAGGGTAAGTCTGTGGTTTTAAGCCTGGTGTTTGGGCCTATGATGAGGCAGCACTTCATGGGAAGAACACGTGGTAGAAAAAGTGACTCACATCATGATATCCTGGAAGCAAAAGAGAAAAAGGAAGTGAGAGGCCAGAAGACTGCTACAGAAGCCCCTTCAAGGCATGCCACAGTGGCCTAATTTCTTCTTACTAGGTTGTGCCTCTTAAATATTCCATCAGCTCTCAATACCACCACATGCTGGCACTGTTACCTGGGCCTTTTAGGCAACACTTAAACCACTGTAGGCTACAACATGAAAACAGCTTCTTTTACATGGCTAATACCTGATGTGTGATGCTGGAATGTTTTGGCCATGGCTAGCACTCCTGCATGTCTTTTCTCATGGTTCAGTAGTCTTGTCTGAGTTGCTTTCTATGATGAGCAGGTCCCAGGACAGTGAAAATGGAAGCTACAAAACCTCTACGACCTAAACTCAGGAACCACCTAGTAATGCATCTGCAGCATCCTATTGCTTGAAATAAGTTCAGCAACATAATTTTAAGAGAAAGGGTTTAAACATCACTTCTTGAGGGTACAAGTGGCTTAAATTTACAGGAATGGGAGGAACTGTCAAGTGCTATATTTCCATAGTGTCCTACCTCATGTACAGACTGAAATGAGAACAGCCAATTAAAATCCTGAGGCTTTTCATGAATTTTTTTTTCTTGTATTTTTTTTTCTTTTCAAAGTTTTATTGATAAACATATAGCAATGAGACAGTTTCAAATCAAATCGAAAGTACAGTTTCAACAAATAATACACTGCATATATTCTTCTTAGTGGTTAATTGCTGTACAAGATGCAGACTTGTGATCCTACTTACAAACACCATTAGAACAAATCATTCTATTCATTAAGAGAATGCAACTATATATCTATCCCAACCACTTTGAATACACAGATACAAAATGGACATTCATCTGTATCCCTTTTTTTTTTAAGTTCCATTTTTTGAATATTATAGGTGTGTAAACTCAGCAAAATATTCTAAAAGAGTACAGAAGCCCATAATAGCATTGGGTCTTCTGTTTAATTGGCAATTTTCATGAATTTTGTATCTAACAATCTTTCAGTGTAAATAGTACAGATTATAGTATCATATAAAACCCGACAGCCCATGAGGACAGAATGAATGTTCTTTTCAAACAAAAGAAGTGAACTTCGAAGTTAGGCAGTAATGCTTAAGTCTCGGTGCTGCGTGATCCTGCCAAGAGGATCTTGGGCAACATTCCTGTGAAGCACTGTGTTTATTCTCCTGTGTATCTATAGGATTATTTTGATAATTAAATGAGTGAATCTATGTAAAATTCTTAGAAAAAAATCCCTGACATACAGTAAATACATAAGAACACATGAGCTATGAAAATAAAAATTGTGTGGGGCCTATTATTATGTGATATAGTGACAACTGTTAGGTTAGGCCTCCTGAAGCTGTAAAATCTTTTGTATTAGGAAACTTAATCACTAATCCAAGTGACTTTTCTCTCTCACTTCCTGACAAGTAACAGTAGGAAGATTGTTCCCTACTCACTGTTATTAATTTTATTATGTCCTGAAGGTTTCTAAACTATAATTTCTGGTCAGTGGAGAATAGGAGATCATACACTGGAAACTACAAACACACGGGAATTGTTAGCGAACAATAAATGGGACTTTCACAAAGGCCAGTTGGGTTATAGAGCTAAAAGCTTTCACAATAGCACTTGCCCTCCTCTTTTAGGAGTCTTCATACATTCTTTCAGTAGGACAGAGGCTTGCAAGGAAGGCACGTATACAATAAATGCTGTGTGTTTTGATGGCATAATAAACAATGTGCTTTCTTGTTTGGAGCTAGATGGAGCTAAGCTGCAAATCCAACTTCTTAACTTACTACTGATATAGGGGAATGAAACTCCCAACTTGAAAGATACCTGGGACATGGGACAAGTTCATGCTGTCTAAAACCAAAGAATGAATTTTAGGAAAAAAACAGACTTTAAGAGAAAAATGTACTTATTTGGGGAAAGGAAGCTCATGTTCGAAAGAGGGACAGAAGGGGGACCCAGTGGGTTGCCCCCAAATTTGTCTTTTCCAGGGATTTTTATGGTGTAAAACCACATGGTGAGGGAGGTCTAAGGTGGAGAACATGGGCACTCGCGAGGTGGTCATGAGATGGGACAGAACTGTGGCCCGCCAATAAGATGACAAGCACCATTGCTCAGATAAAATTAAATCCAGGACCAAATGAGGAAGCAAGTCACATAGCAAGTGGGTGTGAATATAGAACAGAGGCTTTTCCTGTAGGAGGCTGGGTTAGCGACTTAGGGTCCTCAAGGTCAGAGTCCAATTGCATCTCAATCCCTGATGGCTATCCTTAGTGAGATATGCATTTATTTGATCTTTTGTCTTGAGGTCTGGCCCAAAGCAGAGGTGTCTGTCTCTCCCAAAGTTATAAAGTCATCTTGTCTTCCACATTGTCTCCTTGAGGGCCTAGCTCTGAATGACAGCCTATACTATTTCTATCTAACTCAGCTGCCTGCAACACTACCTTGTATTTATTTTTGAGCAGGTTATTTGAACTCAGTTTTGTATTGTTGATCTGTTAAAGAAACATAAGGAGGGGTTGAATGAAGGAGACAGTAAAGGGAAAAAAGAAACATCAAGATGTGGTGGATTAACTAAGATCAACTTGGAACACCCAGCTGAACTGAGTCAGCGTGGTCAGGGTGTGGAAAAATCCACCTGAGGATTGTTGCTGAAATGACTTATAAGGAGACCGGGAAGGGAAGCCTGTCTATTGATGATTTTCCTGGAGAACTCAGCTGTTCTCTGAAGGCGCTCAGGTCCTCCTTGGTGCAGTGGATAGGTGCTAGTCTCCTAGGAATGGGGGAAGGGCTCTGTCCGTACCTGGTCTTGAGGGTCACTTCCTGGCTCCAGTGCAGATTCCTCAGCCTTTTGACACAGATCCTTCATCCTGAGGGTGTGGACTTTTTAGCTGCCATCACTGACCTTCGGGCCTTCCTGGTGCAGATCTTTGATAGGATTTGCATAAGATATTGCTGTTGGCTTTAGGCCTCTTGCGGGATATTGTCATGGAATCCAGGCCCTGGGCTGGATTCTTCAGGTCTACAGCTTGCGCAGACAGATCTCTCACTCTTTTACATCTGACTTTTTGGGTGAACATTATAAAGTAATCCTGTAAATTATGTGTCCTGTACTAAACCTTGCAAATTCGGCTACAACACAAGATATAGCATATACAGGTACACGTTCCCGATAATGAATGCAGTCATTATGTATATCTTAAATGTTCTAGTAAAATTAACAAGATAAGGAATATCTACTTTGACTGAGTTGTCAAATAAGAATACCAATGCCTTGGCACATAGAAGCCACTCAGTGTATCCATTTGCTTTTTTTTTTTTTTCAGAACCTGGGATTGAACTCAGGCCCTTGAGCTTGCCAGATAAGTGCTTATTCTACATTTGCTTTCTTCCAGAACCTAGGATCAAGTATTCCAAAACTCAAAGCACTTGTCTAAGTCGTATATTTTATGTTTCTAAAAGGAGAGATTTGGCGGAATAAGTATTGTCAAACTATTTTTGATGCAATTAATTTTTACTACCATAGATTGTCCTAATGTTCTAAGGTTAGTTAATAATTCTCCTAGAATATGGATTTGCTTTATGAAATAATTTTGTGTTCTCAGTTTCTATACTGTGAGATACAAATTAATTTTCCCGTTATTAACACAATCATGGAAAAGGTCCTAAAAGAGAAAACATTTGTTAAGTTGCTAGAATTTTAAACAGACAAAACTGTCATGTAAGCGCTTTTCTCCTTGGGTGGTGTCTTACAGGTTCCCAGAATTCATTACCTTGCCCCGCACCCGCAGGACACTGAGGGTCGGCTACCTAGTGTTCAAGGAGTCAAATGACAATGACCTAAGGTCCGAGGTGCACAGGACCATCCTCCCACTGATGGCGCTCCAGGAGGAGGCTGGTCACCGTGAGACTTCTGCCCCTGGCACTGGGGCTGGCTGTGTGCGCGCGTGGGAGCGAGGGGCCCCGGCCACCCCAGGTCCCACCCAGCGGCGGGTGGGCGGGCGTCCGCGGCTCCCACGTGGCAGGCGGGCGCGGTGGGCGGCTCCGGGG